CTGGGTGGAGGAGAGCTATGGGGGGGAAAAAGAGGAACAACTGTAATAATCTGCAATAAAGATTTAATTTAAAAAAAATATATATATATAACTGAGGGACAAATGGTATGATATTTATGAGACAAAGAGAAATAGGAACATCAATTATATCCAGAATTTAAAAATTATAAAGTATTTACTATTAAGAATGACTAGTCATGACGTTTTTAGGAAAGATAACGGTACTATGTTAAGACATTGTGGACAGATCATGAGAATTCTCATTTCCTATTACACAGTGTTTTACAAAGTATCATACTTTAAAAAGATATTAGTTTGTAAGAACATGTAATAAATAACTTCAAAATGCAATGGGTATTTAATTTAAAGCGTACCTTTAACATTTATGTAAAACGTTTTTTGTACTCGTTCAATAGAAACTTATCTGGCCACTGGGTAAAGCTAGCAAAAAACTACTGATCTGCAATGTGTTAATGTGCTTAGGATGTAATTCTCTACATTTGTATGTACTTAAAATATTTTATTAAAAAAATACAGCACAGTATGAGCACTGTCATTGAAGCATATTTTGGAGACAACAGAAATCATGACCATCTCAGCAGAATTTGCAAGGATCAAATTGAATGTATGAAAAGCATTCTATAAGATACAAAGTGCTTTCAGAATGCAAGTTTTAATATTTTCAAATTTGAGCTATGAAGTAAGACTTCCCCCCTAAAATCAATGTCCTTTAAAAACAAAAGGGGTTAGATAAATTTTAGAAATGAAATCACCTCTTAGATACACACAGATACACACACATGAGAACATATAGGTCACAGATAGTTTCAGAAGACTTACTTCTTTTACTATCTTTCTAGATAAGGTAAAGGAGTATCCTATAGAATAAGAGCCTAATATGCTAAATGCCTGGTTGTCCATTCAACCAATCAAAGGGTAATATGCTAATGATATGCTAAGGCTGCTCAACCACTCGCTATGACATGCACTGACCAATAGGGGCAGACAGTTGACCAGTCAGTCGCTATGACGGGCACTGACCACCAGGGGACAGATGCTCCAACTGGTAGGTTAGCTTGATGCCACAGCCCTGATGGGCACCAGTGGGGTCCCTTGGCCTGGCCTGTGCCCTCTCGCAATTCGGGACCCCTTGGGGATGTTGGAGAGCCGGTTTCGGCCCAATACTGCAGGCCAGGCTGAGGGACCCCAATGGTGCACAAATTCATGCACCGGGCCTCTAGTACTTTATAAATGTCAGGCATGTCTAAACTCTTCTATCATACCAACGACAGGAAATTCCATTTATTAGAGAAAAGATTAAAATACTGTGCACCAAAAAAATAAAATAAAATAAAATACTGTGCACCAATCCCCAATCAGAATTTTTCCCAAATAAATGAACTATGAGATCCTAGATGAGTGATAAAAATCACCAAAACCAACAACCCCTGTGAAACAGTGAGTGCAGGGAAACAGGGCAGAGATGAACTTGTAAACCCAAGAGAAGCACAAACATGGTCAAAACAAGCAAAACCTATGACATTAAGACACATCATTAACAAATCTCATGAGGGGTTGGGGGGAGAGATCCCTTGTTTTTAAATTTAACAGAGCCTTGGTTCAGTGACTGACAACATTACCAACATGCAGGATGAATGATCAAATTAACAAGACTTCCCTAGGCTGACACTCTACATTAGGACTGTTACCTTGGTCACCACACCTTTTACCTTCCAAGAACGTAACTTAATGCCCAAGGATCTTTTACATACCTTGTAATTCTGGTGAGATTCGAAGTTAGAAAGTGGAGTGTTGCATGCAGTGGAAAAAGGCATGACTTTCATACCTCTATAAACAAGGCCTTTATCATAAAGTTGTTTGAAGACCCACCTATCAAGTAAAGAGACGTTTTAGAATCCTATATAATAAAATGCTAATATGCAAATCGACCAAACGGCAGAACGACTGGTCACTATGACATGCACTGACCACCAGGGGTAGACAGTAAATGCAGGAGCTGCCTCCTGGTGGTCTGTGCACTCCCACAGGAGGAATGCCACTCAGCCAGAAGCTGGGCTCACGGCAGGCGAGTGCAGTGGCGGGAGCCTCTCTTGTCTCTGCGGCAGCGCTAAGGACCCCTTGGGGGATGTCCAACTGCCAGCTTAGGCCTGCTCCCTAAGCCAGTAGTTGGACATCCCCCGAGGGGTACCGGACTGCGAGAAGTTGCAGGCTGGATTGAGAGCCCCTCTATCCCCCAGCGCACAAATGTCGTGCACCAGGCCTCTAGTAATTATATAACCAAAATTCTCTTTCCCCAAAGGCAAATATTTATGCCAGGTTTTATTTATACAGTTTGTGTCAACCACGGACATGAAAACACAATGTTTCTCAACTGAAGATTCACTGGTAAATTACAACAGATCAGAATGAGACTTTATATAGAAATGAAAATGCTAATACCTGTTGACATGAAAACATGTTCATATCATAATGTTGACTGAAAAAAGGTGACACCATAATGTACAGAAAGGTACCAATTATGCAAAACTGCACATTTCAGTACAGACAGTCCTCGGGTTATGTCAGTCTCGATGTATGTCGTTTCGTGGTTATGTTGCCATCTCCCATTTATTTATTTATATATATATATATATAAAAGTTCCGTCATTTTGATGTATGTGCTTTACGTTTTTTCTTATTTATTTACCACAAGGTAAAAAATTATTATCTTTCTTTTAAATTTTTTTTACTGTTTCACTTCATTACTGCTGTGTATGTACTACATGTGAGTGACATAGGTCAGTGATCGGCAAACTGCAGCCCCTTGAGTGTGGCTCTTCCACAAAATACCACGTGCGGGCGCGCACATACAGTGCAGTTGAAACTTCATGGCCACACTCAAGGGGCCAAAGAGCCGCATGTGGCTTGAGAGCCGCAGTTTGCCGACCATTGACATAGGTGCTTACATAGGTGGGTTCCAACTTAAGGCAAAATTGCGTTACGTCATGCCGTAGGAACAGATCTCCGATGTAACCCGAGGACCTACTGTATACATATTTACATTTTTCAGGAGTGATGAAAAAATAGATTTCCAATAACATCTTAACTATGGCTGGCATTTTAGTTTTTCGTTTTTAAATAGTTTTCTGGTGTACTGCTTAAATTTCACTATAATGGGTAGTTTTACTGCACTGGGATTAAAGTCAGTATGTCTGCTACAGCTAGCCAAAAACTTTATCATGCTTGTTTTAAGTTAAATGTACTAACAGGACTGCAAACATCCATAAGAATCATCCTAGATTTTCCCGTGACTGCTCACCTCTCCCAATTAGATGCAAGAATGCACTAGTGAGAACCCTTATTTAATTCTGCCATATTAAAATTCATCTTCAGTCTCATTCCTCCTATGTCTGTCAAAATAAATGAACTAAACCCTCTCTCCTTTGCTAAAATACAGTTTTATGAAAACTTTATATTTTTTCATGGTATTCTTTTGGCTGCAGATAAAGCTTAACTATGTGCCTCATTTATATGCCAAGACTTTCCTCAGGAAGACTAACATCTCAATACCAACCGGCTTTAAAAACTGTTTTCCTGAGTCAAGTATGTTTTGTGTAAATTAAAAGTATAATGTAGAGCTGTATTTCCTAACATGTAGGTACTAGCCATAGGTGCACATTTAAATTTAAATTCATTAAAATTAGAAATTCAGTTTCTCAATCACAACAGCCACATTTAAGTGCTTAATAGCCCATGTACAGAGCATAAATAGTGCCTGCTTTTTCAGATGTTTAACATGAACCCTGTTTTTTAGATGCTCTAATCATGAAAACTCCAGCTGTTCAGTGAACAGGAAGCTGCCTGCCCAAAGTCCCTAGCTCAGGAGTGGGCAACCCCAGGCACGTGTGCCAAACATGGCACGCCAGTAACTTTTGCTGGCACGCGAAACCCTCTCTTATAATCTTCCATTTACAATTTTTTTCTTAATATCGACTTTATTTTTCAGATACATTCAGTGTAGGTGCATCTTAGATAAATAAATAATGTATACATTAAAAAATAAATGTATTTTTCATCATCATATACTGTGTTTTTGTCGCTCGAATGAATTTTACTATTTCTTCAAGACTTTTCACATACGTACACCTTAAGAGATATCAAGTAGGTGTAACATGTTCTCAAAACATTAGGGTTGGCAAGCAGAATTTTGAGTCAGAGATTTTGCTGGTTTTGGCACGCACTCACAAAAAGGTTGCCCACCCCTGCCCTAGCTTGTCAGATAATCTGATCAGCTTATAACTTGGGTACATGTGTCTAGAGATATATCAACAGGGGCACACCAGAGTCAAAGAGTCTAAGAACTGCCCTATGGTGTCTTGCTCCTCTGTGCCAAGCATGTGCACCAGATCCTGGATCACAGAAATGTGAGCAAGTAGATAGGAAAGCAATATGGGCCACAAGCACCTACAATGCAGTGCAATGCAAGTGCATCCTACAGAATAGTGCTGCTACTCACCTGTAATTATGTATAATTTACCCGACATATATACAGAGGGTATTTTACAATTCTAATGATGATGCCTGCTTACCCATTAATCTGTAATAATAAAAGCATAATATGCAAATTGACCAAACGGCAGAACAGCAGAATGACCATCTGAACGACCACACTATGACACGCGCTGGCGCCAGGCCAGCCAAGGCAGGTGCGATGCAATTCGTCAGGGGGCCCTCCCATTGCCCGATTGCCCCGCAGAGGGAAGACCAAGCCACCGCCGGTGGGGTGATCAACCTTGGGGGCGGGCGGCATGCTCCGCAACTGCCCCACAGAGGGAGACCCAGGCCATCTTCTGCAGGGGAATCGATTAGGGGACTCCATGATGGATCACCCTGCAGAGAGAAGCCCAGGCCACCGGCCAGAGGGGCGATTGTTTGGGCAGGGCCTCCGCTATCACCCCAAAGAGGGATGCCCAGGCCATCCTCTACAGGGTGATCAATCAGGGAGCTGCGCAATTGATCGCCCCAAATAGGAAGACCCAGACAACCGACCAGTGGGCTGTGATGGGTGGGCGGGGCCTCCCTCTGGGGGCAATCGATCGTGGAACCCCACATGTCTGATTGCCAGCTTAGGCCTGCTCCTCTCAGGATTCCAGATTGTGAGAGGGCGCAAGCCGGGCTGAGGGAGCCCCCCCCGCCCCACAATTCCATAAATTTCGTGTACCGGGCCTCTAGTTAATATATAATGATTTTCAGATGATAGTAGTAGGCTCAAGTTAAAGTCACCTATCAAGACTGGCATTGCAGCCCTAACTGGTTTTGCTCAGTGAATAGTGTGTCGGCCTGTGGACAGAAGGGTCCCAAGTTTGATTCTAGTCAAGAGCATGCACCTTGGTTGTGGGCACATCCCCAGTAGGGAGCGTTCAGGAGGCAGCTGAATCGATGTTTCTATCTCATCAATGTTTTTAACTCTCTATCCCTCTCCCTTCCTCTCTATAAAAAATCAGTAAAATATACTAAAATAAAAAAAAGACTGGCACTGCAACAGTTGTCTTATAATAAACTAGAGGTCCAGTGCACGAAACATGCACTTGTGGGGGTTAGGGGGTGTCCCTCAGCCTGGCCTGTGCCCTCTCGCATTCCGGGAGCCCAAGAGGAGCAGGCCTAAGCAGGCAATAGGACAATCTTAGCATGAGCACAGCTGAGTGGCGCTCCCCCTGTAGGAGCACACTGACCACCAGGGAGCAGCTCCTTCATTGAGCGTCTGCCTTCTGGTGGTCAGTGCACGTCATAGCAACCAGTCATTCTGCCGTTTGATGGATTTGTGTGTTAGACTTGTATTATATAGGACTAGAGGCCTGGTGCACAAAAATTTGTGCACTGGTGGGGGGGAGGGTGTCCCTCAGCCCCACTTGTGCCCTCTCACAGTCTGGGACCCCTTGGGAGATAACGACCTGCTGGCTTAGACCCGCTCCCGGTTGGCAGAGGGGAGGCCCAATCCCTAGGTGCAGCCCCT